TAACTAATGTTTTTGCAGGTATAAAGAGCAAATGAAGCTGAAGTAACTTTAACCTCCAATTCACTATGAAACCCAAATTGTCAAGCAATGTGGAGATTATTAAGTTTGGTGCATAACAATTTAGCCCAATTTAGGTAGCCCAATACCTTACCTTTCTTCAAGCACTATGATGCAATACTTTTATTTGTAAGTTGTTGGGCCCATAAGAATGCAACCCGACATCCCAAATCTCACTTATCTCAAAGGCTGAGATTGTAACACGTGGATGGAGCTGCGACTGTTGGATACTTCTGACTGTTGATATTTTGGCTTGACTCTCTCATTCGTCTCACTTCTTCGAAATTATTCTAGGGTTCTCACTATTCTTGGCTCTTTCTATTCTCTCTCCGAAAACCTTTGATTTTTGCCTATAATCTGGTGATCTAGATGATTCTTGGTGAAATTTAGTGTTTGATTAAGGCTTAGTTCTGTGTTTCTGTTCTTATATGGGTAGTAACCTTTGGTTACTTTGTGTAATCGTATTTCTGAGAGTTTATGTGAGAGATTCTTGGGTCTGATGGTTGATCCTTTGCGGATATGTTGTATCGTAACATTGATCTTGATAATATTGTTGTATTCTAGTGGATTGGAGTGTTAATCACTTCGATGAATGCTCAACGCGTGGCTACCCCTAATTTGGGTGAACATCAGGGCCTTGGGGTGAAAAATCATTTGTGTTCATTTCTATTGTCTGCATTACTTTGTATTTTAGGGCCTGTATAATACCAACAAAAATATTAGAGGAAACTATGAGAAGGAAGAGAGAAAAAAATATTATAATAATTTGTATTTACTCTTTTTTTCATGAAAAAAATGAGAAAATAATGAAAAAGAAGAGAGCGAGAAAAAAAAAAGAAATGAAAATATGATAGAAGTAGGTTCGCGAGAGAAATTAATAATTTTTTGTACCATAAAGGGTTCGTAGAATAAAAGAGGGAAGAGAAATACTACAGATTGAAAAACATTTTTTTAGGGAAGTCTTTCAAAATCTTAGGATTAAATGAGAGATTGTGTATGATTTTTATTTTTATTATTATTATTTTTTTCTGTATTTGCATTTTGTACTTCTAGTTTAAAAGTTAGTATTTAAACAATTTTATAAAAGTTATTGAAATTTTAAATACCTGTAACTTTTTAAGTCTTTGAAAAAGTTTTGATCTAATACACTTATTTTTTATTTTAAATTTATAAATCCAAATTGAATACACTCCAAGAGACTAGAAATTCTAGTATTTCGATTTTGATATAGTGACAGATCGCCTCCATTTGGGAAGAATTTATAAATGGTTTAACTTATAAATAGATAGAAATAAATGATAAATAAGTGAATAATACTTATAGATCCACTGAAATGTATAGTTGAAAATGAAATTTGACCATTTAAAAATTATTTATAAATTTTGCCAAACGGAGGATAAATTAACTGGCAAGTGACTCAAAGACCCATGCCAACGTGCACCACTATATCATGTTCAGATTAAATTGCACTACACACTATTTGAATAGAAAAGTTAAAATTTTCCTTATTATACAAGGCAATTATGTCAAATAATACATGTCAAACATATTCAAAGAAGTTGTTTGACAAAATGGATCATATTCTATTGAAAAACATTAATAAAAGAAGTTAAAATTTAGTCTATTGTATTTTAATCATAATGGCTAGACAGCGGGAAAATGCTCCACCGACGAAATTCACCACATCTCCAATCAGAAAGAGAACTTGGATTCTTAAAACGCCTTTGGCCATTGGTGAAGCAAAAGAATGCGGGGAGTCCTCGCCAGAGTCAATTCACGACGAGAACCTTCGGTGTAGATACTTTGGCAACCTGGACTAGAATTTAGATGAATATAAACCCTAATTAAGGGATAATATTCGATCCCCTTTAATGCCCATGACTATTGGAATTACATTTAGGATATGCTGCCAATCCCGCTAAAGATTTCATAATTCTCTTAGGGTCCGTTTGATTGCAAGGATGGAATTTGGGTGGAAAGAAAATGAATTTCAGGAGATTGAATTGTTTAGAACTTGTTTTACTCGGAATTGTCAATTAATTGTGTTTGATTGGTATAATTTTTCACTTGGAAAATGTTGAAATTTTTGGATCTTTTGATGTTCGTTTGACTTTATTTTCCATGAAAATTGTCTAGTGAATGGATATAATTTGTTACCATTTGGGATAAAATTTGTTTCAATTGTCAAAATAAAAAAGCCTAGAAAACCATTTTCCCGCCAAAATGGTGGGAAAACCAATTCAAGGAAAAACAAGAAAAGGGGGTCACGTGGGGCTTAAGAAGGAAAACCAATTTCATGGAATTAAATAATTTACAACTTCCATGGAAAATAAACCCTATCAAACATAACCTTAGAACTTTTCCATTTTGACTCAAGTATCGTAATGCTACTGGAGTACATTCTCCATTCCAACTTTGTAGGAATTCGAGAGATTGAGGAACGAGAAAGACTCCTTGAATTTCAACATCATACCATGTTCAATTAGAAGTATGCTATTCGGACCTCACTCACTTCACCAAAGCAACATATCCATGTACATTGAAATTTAGATTGAAGCTGTCATACTAGCAAAAGCACCAAAAGTTTAATTCATTCTTTTAAGGTCACATCTCACAACGGCTTCCAATTTTAAATTTGAGTTAAAAGAAGAAAAGTTTGATAATTTACAATTAATTCAAACAAACTAATTCACACCAAAATCAAACCTATACATATGTACACATGCCTATATATACACATACTGGTTTCATCATATTCTGCCAAAAGGGACTTCTAAGAATGAGAAATCAAGGCATCCTTCTAAATCTTCTGTTTACTCTCTTGATCCTCTTTACAGATTCAACTGGTAGTTTAAGATCCATTTTCCATTTAAACTTTTGGCTCGTTCAATAAGGTGGACAATGTAGTAGTTAAGGTAAATGCTCTTTATCAAATGTGTCATTCATTTTGTATTGATCAACGAGATTTTGTCTAGCAGTGGCTGCACCAGTCGGAGTTTGCTACGTTCGTGTCGCCAGAAACCTTCCACTACCCTCCAAGGTCGTCAATCTCGTCAGATCAAACGGCATTTCAAGAATCCGGCTATTCAACCCCGACCCCAACGGCCTAAAACCATTCTCAGGCACTGGAATCGAGCTCATGATCGGTGTCCCCAATGAAATCCTCTCTACTTTAGCCAATGGCACAGTGTTCACTTCTCTTGAATGGCTTCAAACAAACATTTTCTCGAACATCTTGCCTACACAAATTCGATATCTTGCAGTTGGCAATGAAGTACTTCTAAAAGATCCATTCTACTCTCCTTACGTTGTCCCTGCAATCCTTAATCTATATGAAGCTCTGCAAACTTTAGGATTATCTGAAACAATCAAACTTTCATCTTCCCACGCCGCTTCAATATTATCCAGTTCATACCCTCCATCATCCGGTGCTTTTGACTCGAATATCCAACCCATTTTACTTCCTCTTTTGCAGTTTTTACAAACCTCTGAATCGCCGTTAATGGTGAATGTGTACCCATTCTTCAGTTACATAAACAACCCACAATATATATCGCTTGATTACGCACTCTTTAGATCCTCCACTCCGGATATACCAACATGTTTGATGCAACGGTGGATGCATTTGTGTACGCTATGGAGAAGATGGGTTTTTCTGGCATTCCGGTGGTGGTGAAGGAGACAGGGTGGCCGGCGGCTGGCGGCGTTGCGGCGAGTGCTGAGAATGCGTTGGATTATAATGGGAATATTGTGAAACGAACAATGAATAACGTTGGGACGCCGAAAAGACCCGGGATTGGTGTCGAGGTTTTTTTGTTTGATTTGTTTAATGAGAATGGAAAAAGTGGGCAGGAATATGAGAGGCAATTTGGAATATTTGGAGTTGATGGTACTAAGGCCTATGGCCTTAAATTCTACTAAATTTTTTTATTTTATTTTCTTTTTTTAATTTCAAGGAATTTAACATCTTGGACTAGTGAGTTTGTCACGTGTTGGTGATGTGTATCCCTATCGGAAACATTATTCATTTGTTGAATAATAGAACTATTGTTTGTATGATAGAGTTAGGGTGTGCTTGAGCCACATTATTTTGAAATAANCCATATTAAAATATTTTAAATTGTATATAATAAACTTGTGTTTCTATTGCATAGTAAATTACCCTATTTATAGTGCTATAAAAGACTCTAAAGATGTGTTTGAGCCACATTATTTTGAAATAATATATTTTGGAATAGTAGATTGATGGAGAATATGTGGTTGAAAAATAAGGACAAGTTATTGATGTGATGAAAAATATTATTTTATTGAAAAATGTGTGGTTGAAAATGAGTAGAATAATGAAAATGAAAATTTTAATTTGTACCAAACAGGGGCTTAAACATGAAAGAATATTGATGGACAAGATTGTCTTATTGGATAGAGTAGAAATCCAATTTCTGTTTTTCGCGAATTAGCAACCATTTTCATTTGATTTTGGCCTCTAATATTGAGATTTCTTGAGAGGAATTTTCATGGTGAGAATTGTCATAATGGTGAAGATTTGGGGAATGGTGCTCGAAGGCAGAATAAATCGAATGATTTGGAAGAACAACTTGTGAATACTAACATGAAGATGAATCTCAGGAGATAATTGATAAAAATAAACATGATCAGGATAAGGTAATTGGTTTGCTTTCATGTCTTGTGAACTTGGGGTGGGGGTGGTTTGGTGGTTTAGGCTTGGGCTTGGGCTTGGGCGTGGAGATGCAGATGGTTGGGGAAAAAGACATTTTTTTTTATTTGGAAGAGTTCACAAATCAGGTATTAATTTTGACAATTGTAAAAATTAGGCGTTAAGTTTCAAACTTACAAAACTCAGGTATTTATTTATTAATTAAATATTTGTTTGTAATATAATATAATTAACTCACCCCACCTCCACCTCCACCTCCACCTCCACCACCCCTACTGCTTCGGAGACCGACGACTACTCCGGCGACTGTTCATCGACCACGCTTAATTCCGACGACTATTCTGGTAACCGTTTTGCCGTAGCTTAATTCTGGCGATTGTTCCGATTTCGACAATTGTTAAGGTCACAATTATATGCAATTTGGTCACATATATCTAATTAATTAGTTAAAAATTAATTTTCGGTCACAGTTTATTTCCAGATTGCAAGTTTCTAAATTAGTTAGTCATAGATTTTTTAATGGTCACATATAAAAAAATTTGTAGGTCACAATTAATTCGTCGGTCACAGATTTCAAAATTTATAGGTCACATAGTCACAGATTTCCAAATTAGTTGGTCACAAATTCTTTTACGATCACAGATTATATAATTTTTAGGCCACAGATAACAAAATGATTGGTCACAAATTAATCAACACCCCACTTCCAACTCCGATCCTAATCCACCACCTTGACTGCACACCACTGCGCCCAAGCCAAGTAGGGCTGGGCAAAATGTCCGAACCGAATCGAACCGAACCGGAACCGAACCGAACCGAACCGAATCGAGCGGGTTTTTTAAAATGAAATACCCGAACGGGTATTTGAATCNCATGATCCAACACCTTAACCGCACAACACCGTGCCCAAGCCAACCATCGCCTCCATCACCATCAGATCCAACATACCCTGTCAGATACGCCACCATCACACCACAACCCTACTACCAACAAAGCCGCCACCACTAAATCCAACATCGCTGCCAACCACCATCACAAAATCACCACCACTGACAATAAGGAAGTTAAAATATTTTGGAGAGATAAATGAGGGCAACAAAACGAAGGCGAACCAAATAATTGGTCACATACATCCAAACTTCCAACCCCCGATCTCAATCCACTACCAATGCTTGGTCACAAATCGACCAAATAGTTGATCACAAACACTCTTCGTCTCATCCCATCGTCGCCATCGCCTCCACCGCTGCCAACAAAAATCACAACCACCACATTAAGCCCACTGCCATCGCCACCACAACACCGCCACCACCACATACACCACACAAAATCGCAACCTATAGCCACCAAGACCAACACCACCTAGCAAGCACCGCCAACATTAACACCACCACAGCCATCACCATCACCATCACCATCACCAACAACTACAAACACAACCAAATAAAACCAGAGATAAAATGGCCACCTGCTGCTACCAATACCAACAATCCAACATCAAAATGTCTCCACCTTACACCACCACCACAACTTCTCTTCTGCACCCCCGATCTGCAGCGTCACCCATATGTTCATCGTTGGAGCTATGCTTCGCCGTGGTCTTCTTCGCGGTGTCATTTCAGCACCGCAACTCGCGGTGATTCGCGAAGGGAAAAGTGCAGTAGCGCGGGTGCTTTGAGAGGTGGTCTCCGAAAGTGCACGGTCGTCCCCGACGGCGAGCACAAGATAGGAAAAGAATGGAGAAGAGGAGGGGAGACGCGAGAGATAGGGGAAGGATGTAAGAGAGAAATTAGGTTATCAATTAGGGTTTTAATATAATACCTGATTTTTGAATAAATAAACTTTAGACCTAATTTTTAAAAATCAATCTTTAAACACTTGGATTTATGTAATTACCACTTTTTTCCCCATTTTTTGTTATGAATTATTTTCTCTTTTTGAGTTAATTTGTATATAATTGTTTAAAGTGGGTTGTTTGTACTTTTTGAAAAGTGACGAGACTCCCTTTACTTTCCCTTGTTGCTTTCCTTCTTTTTTTTTTTTAATACAAAAATGAGGCAAAATTCGTCATTTAATAGTCAAAATGGAATGAATGTTGAGTTTTGCTAAACAATTGAAAGTTGAAGATGTATTGTGCTTAAAAAAAGTCGAGAATAAATTTGTTACACGTTACAAAGATGGAAATAAAAAGCTAGTCATGAACTATTGGAGGCTTATAAACTGGCATTGAAAAAAGAGGTATAATAACTTGTGTCAATAATAGAGAAATCGCGAGCTGGTGGCTCGTATTTTACTATTAGAGGCTTATAAGTTGATCT